AATCACACTCTTGAATTCAGAATTTTACGCATACTGAATTTTTTTTTAATTCAGGCTCACCGAACAAAAAATGAGTCATTCCTGAAAAAATCACGAAAAGATGATCAAAATCTAAGATGTTTTCGAAAGTGTTTCTCTCTCAAACAAGTAAGAAGTTTAACTTCCATTTATCGTATAATTTTAAGGATAAATCCCGATTACAGCTAAATGTTAAAGTTTCGTATATTTACGTTATTAGTGTCAGAAATAACATAGAGCAAACATACTGCTAGTTATAGCTAGAGAATGGCTAGTTCAAACTGTAGCGCACTTTTTCTTACAGACGGAGTCTGTTTATACTCGCAGGATGTTAAAATCTACTATCAAGCCGTTTTCTCACTGCCAATCACTCACTGAAAATGAATAAAGTTATTTACGTAAAAATCACGATAACCAGTGGGCTCTGCCACCTGCTTTCTGACGCTTGCCAAAGATTGCTACGCAATATTGTACTTTGTGAACCAATCTCGCTTCTCTGCCAAGATGGACCCGTTTGAAATCGGACTTAATATAAAATATTAATTAGTTAGATCACCAAAAAAATTATAAACGTTTTGTTCCACTTGAGCTCTAAAATTGAATACAGCTAAGGCTAGAAGATAACGAGAGTTTTATCAGCATCTCTTTAAACAATCAACATTGATTACACGCCACAGAAATAATTACAGACACCTAGCAATAGAAATAACTGCTGAAACTGCATTGCAACAGACATATTTGCAAAAATAATTGCTAAATTGAAAATGTCGGGAAAAAATAATGATTACCAATCTATTAAAAAAAAAATTTGAAAACACAATGGGATACCTGCAATTGTCGTAGTGTGGGTATATCGATTCTGATTAGTTGTTGAAACGTGACATTTGTTTACGTTAGCGACTGTTCTTTCCATTCGATTTCGAGTAAGTCAAGTCCGTCAAGTATCAATTCTCTCTCAAAGTGACACATTCTATATTTTTACACATAGATTCTTTCATAAAGATTTCAATTCTTTCACTATATATTTCTTACTTAACACAAAGACAGGCATAAAGCCGTGTAGAACATATTAGCAAAAGCAAACTAATTATGCATCGAATTTGCCAGGTACGCAAAACAAAAATGTAACACGATTACAGTAAAATACATAAACAAATAATAAATCTAAGTGAAGTAAAATACGTAGACGAGAAAGGTTTGTATTTCAACAAATTCGATGAGCGATACGGTGCTATATTTAATTAACTTCACTTTAATTAACATTCTAACTTATGTGTAGAAACGTAGCTCAACTTAAACACGCCATTTTGCTTATAAACGATCAGCTGGAGCTGACGTCATAGATCACATGTCTTCTTGAAATGCAAGTACCCAATTATATATTTCGTGATTCTAGAAGATATAGATTGTTAATCATATGCTAAAAAAATAACCTTAATGAAAATACTAAGCTCAGTGACGTCACGAGGCAACGCTATTAAGTAGTTTTAAAACAATCGAACCCCATTAAACCATCGGGTATAATTTATTCTCTTAGTAATGACCAAAAAAATCTAAGTCTCTTTTAGAATTAGATGTTCACAGAGCCGCTTAAGACCTTCGTCATCTAATCTCTCTCTTTTTTTCCAAATATAATTAATCCACATTTGCAACTTTAATTTTTTGTCTATATTTGAAGGTCGAAAATACATCAAATTCGTAATTAAAGAGAATCTACATTATACATATTTAAAAAAATCAAATATTTCCATGCTAATACATGCTTAGTATTTATCAGTTATAACTGGCGAGTGTAATCCTTAGTATGATATTATTTGTATTTGTATTTGTAATTGAGATTCACTTTCATGCTTTATAGCTAAAATTTTTGTAAAGGAACAAAACACATCGTTTATACCTCGAGCAGTTATAAAAACTAAAGGAAACCGAAGAAGTAAAATATCTTATCTTCTATTAGTATTAAGACTTATTAACGACTCTTTTTTTTTGTTATTTATTTTCTTATTATTATTTCTTTTAAGTTCTCAATGTCCATGAGCACTTAACTCAATACTCATAGAGTTCTTTTGCTACAACCATTCCTAGTGGTTAAAGGCACTGAACTGTCACATCGAAGGATTATGGTCCAATACTCATTGGTGGCTTGAAGCTCACACAGCATGAGACTGATTGTTACCAACTTGTTTGGGAAGTAAAGCAGGCATGTGCATAGTGCTGACCACTATGATACAATCATGCCAATAGTCTCGAAATTGTGGATAATTGTTGGTTTCAAACTTCATTTTATTCTTTTAGGTTATTTTAAGGGACAGTGTCGATTCTTTTACGAGAGACCTTAATTTTAAGTAGCAATTGTTATTTTATGGGCAATACTGCTTATTTTACAGGTATACCCTAAATTTGCTACTATGTAAAATTACGGGTGATTTGTAATCTAAGGTCTAGATATTTTTTACGCACTTTGGCTGGAAGCTCTGCTGCCGACATTTGTCCGCATAATTTTACATCACTTTTCTCACTGTGTATGGATTTTTTTTTTGCCTGATTTGTGGTTGGTTCTAATGCCACTAGCTACACGGGCAAGCCTGCTTGGTGAAACAGAGCAAATTTCAGGCAGAATGTGCGATTCTTGTTTTTCAGTGGCGCCATCTATGGCAAAGAATTCGATTTCTGCCACATCATACGTCACACCTGTTTATAAGGAGGACCCATTCATACATCCATTCATTCATCCACAGATCGTAATTTTGACCTGAATCAGAAAACGATCAATCTCNGCATTTTTGGAGAAATACACTGCAATTTCTTTGTAGGCGATAAGATCTTTCTGTGTAATGTCTTGTCATCTAGTGAAAATTTCGGAAACACGTAAAGTTCTTTTCAGGTTGTTGTTGTTTCTAATGCCACTTGCCACACGGGCAAACCTGCTTGGTTAAATCGAGCAAATTTCAGGCAGAGTGTGCGATTTTTTTTTCAGTGGCGCCATCTAAGGCAAAGAATTCGATTTCTGCCACATCATACGTCACACCTGCTTATAAGGCGGACCCATTCATACATCCATTCATTCATCCACAGATCGTAATTTTGAACTGAATCAGAAAACGATCAATCTCTAATCCAGTACCCCCAGAGGTATTCAAATGTTATGGGAACATGGAGGAATTTGCAACTCGACAGAATTTTAACGTGCATCAGCCACCAACAACACGGGGAGCCTTCGGCCGGCGGGGTTCGAACCCAGGAACTCTCGGACATGGGCCCAGCGCCCTACCGACCAGGTTTTCCCGGCTCGCCTGATTTGTGTTTCTAACTTTATAAATTGAATTAAGCCTTTCTCTCACTGAGATGACCATTAATATGGACTACCATTTTTATTTCAAAATTCTGGGCGATCAGGTGAATCAACATCTTGTTGAAGAGCATGCTTTTGATAACCCTAGTTTCAAAAAGGGCGACAGCAAAATAGATAGGGTTGGCAAGATTTACCACAATTGTTATTTAACTTAGTTAGAAAAAAAAATATCTTGAATAGTTTTTATTTAATAAACCATGTTACGAAACGAAAATAATGAAGGTGTTCGTTTCGGAAATAAGGGCATCAAATAAATTTTCTTTCACTATAAAATATCCGATTATCAAAGAGAAACTAAAAATGTCTGGGTAACAATATTGGGGGTGAGCAAGGTACACAGCCTCCTGGTATTCAAAAATACAAAAACGTGCTTTACTTGAATAAAATGCAGTGAAATCTCTCTGGAGCAATCACTCTCCGTTTCACAGTAAAGCGGTCGTTGATGGAGGTTGGTCGTTGCGTGATTGTTTGCGTGATTGTTGCGAACAATCGCGCAAAATTGCAACGATTTTATTTTCTAGCCAGTATCACTTTTTTGGAGCTGAAAAAATCCACTTCTGTTGGGCTCACGAAAAAACGAATCTATGAATAAAATTTAGAGTCTATAAAAATGATCCCAACTGATGTGATTATGCGTGCAAACAAATTTACCAAATATGAATGATAACACCATTTTAAATAAATAAATAACTTTGTTTTTTGTTAAATTTGCATTCAGTTTTATAACAAAAAAAAATAGTTAGCTTTAAAAGCTTAGAAGAGGCTTAATTGTTTAGGTGCTTAGTTTTTTCTAAAATAAGTTTTTTTTCTAATTTAACTTTCAACTCAAAAAATAAATTATTGATAGTATCGTCTTTAGTGCACTTTAACTGCAACGTGAGGTTTTTATCGTCAAAAAGTGTTCTCTAAATAATAAGAGCTTCACACAAATATTTTGAATGCACTTTAACCCACTTATTTGTTTTGTTTCCTTATTTAATCTTCTCTGCATTTGGTGTCAGGTTTGGCCTGAAGGTTTTCTTCAGTACTAAGTCTATGGAAAAAATTCCGTGTCTCCCAAAAGTGGTCGTAAATAGAGGTAATCACTACACAGAAGCGGTTTTTAATGGAGGTTTCACTGCAATCCATTTTACAATCAAACTATACATTAGGTAAGTGTTTAAGTCTTTTCTATAGTTTGTCTAAAATGAGAACTCCTCCAGACATTCGTCTGGACCTGTGGCGGTGACCATGGGAACCAGAAATGACTATTTCAAGTAGGGGTGTGGGGTCACTGTTTTGGAGTGGTTTCGGCTCGAGTCGGCGAGAGGTTTGCGGTCTATTGTGTTAGTCCTAGTCCTAAAATCCGCCATTCTTGTTTCCATAGCCCCAGACGGCTTCAGACTTTGTGGCGGGAAGAGTTCTTAGCTTAGACAAACTATAGCATAAACGCCCATTTATGAAACAAATATTTCTTCACGCAAAAACAATTACAAATATTTTTATAGCTGTTTATAAGGTTTCCATAAATTAGATTGATATCTTACGTGTTTATTTGATATTTCATCAAGCAATAGCTCATATATCCTTAAAAATAAGGCAATTTACTTTTTTAAATGCAAGTTAATATTCTATTAAAAATATTACTCACTTCCCAGTCCCCAGGACTGATACCACTTTTAAAACCGAAGTGCTCTTCCACTAGTTTGAGGAAAGATCTTGGAGCCTCTTTATCTCCCCCATCCTCACTTTGCTTTTCTTCTGTCTCCTCCTCCTCCTCTTCCTCATCAGGAGCAGAATCGTCAATAGGTATGAAGCCAGCTTCATCAGGATCCACGTCATCTACATCACCATAGAGACTTGGTATCCATTGTTGTAGGAAATTATACAAATCTTCTACCCTATAAATACGAAAACTTCTTTATATCGAAGCTTCATTTTCGCAATCTATTATGTTGTGTTGAGAAGCAGTGTGTACAATATGTTAGCAAAAATGCATTGTAGAAGAATATTTTTAAGAGCTTACTCAAAAAACATTTCATTAATTTAAATAATAAGTAAAAATATCTGTCCAGTATTTGAGAAATAGTACTTTTTATATCATTGGGTCAACGGATTGGACGTCACAAGTCTGATGCTTTGCGTGAAAGCTGTCGAATCATTAAATTAACATACAGGTTTATTAAGAACTTAAGGTAATATTTAAATAATAGAGTAATAAGCAACACTTCCAAAGATAACATTTTTGTATCAAGCTGTTCCTTGATATTGTTTCCCGAGAGGTACCTTAAGAGTTTATTACATAAGATTAGATAAGAGCATAATACACAGAATCATTTTGCATGAAAATTCGCGTTTTAACCGAAAACGTTTATAATTTGAGAATGTGGCTTGTATTTACATACAGCAGATTTTTATTAATTATGCTTGTAATATTAAACTTTACAATTAGCAAAACAATTACATTTAGAGATAAACCCAAGTACGATAGCTACAATACAGTTAAAATTCTGATCCTTCCCATGGGAAAATAAGTAATTTATCATTATGAGGCTTCGAGCCATCCATATGACTTATAATTCCATTAATTTTTTAATTTAAATCCTCAATAAACATTTAAACTTTTTTTTGCAATAAACTTTTTTTTTAATTTAGTAAACTAAATATTTGAAAAAAAATATAACGTACTGTCACTATGAAGGATGTAAAAAATGATTACTTAAAAAATGTTTTATGTTCACTTATTGATCTTAATAGTATCATAAGGGAAATATTCGGATGTTTGATGGGGAGATTGTTCTTTTAGTACATATACAGGGTGTTTATAAAGTCCCGGACTCATTTTGATGTTTAATAACACATAAAATGATAAAGATGGATTAAAATTAATAACATAAATGGATAGATAGACTCAAAAAGTTTCATGACCCTTGTCAATGAACTTCCACGTGTGCCCCCTTCGTCGCACGGAGAATATCAAGTCGATAGTCAATTTCACGCCAGGTAGCGGCAAGCATGTCGGCATCCACAGAGGCTATTGCGGTTGTAATTCTGGCTTTTAGGCCATCAATGTTCGACATGATCCTCCTGTAAACATTGTCCTTTATAAATCCCCAAAGAAAAAAGTCCAGCGGCGTTATATCAGGTGATCTGGGTGGCCAAGGAATTGGACCTCCTCGCCCAATATTTTTTCCTGGAAAATGGTCATTCAAAGAACAACGAACGATGATACCCCAATGAGGTGGTGAGCCATCGTGTTGCAAAAAGACATGTGGCTGAAGCTCTTCTAGTTGTGGAAATACGAAGTTTTCCAACATGTCTAAGTATACGACTGATGAGACCGTCTTTTCTGTAAAAAAGAAAGGCCCAATGACTCGGTCGTGCATTAATCCACACAACACATTAACCTTTGGGGAATCCCTTTGTATTTCACTGTATTCATGGGGGTTTTCAGATCCCCATATGCGCAAATTATGGCAATTAACAATGCCAGAAACACCCTTTTTGATGCTTAACAACTCATAACGCTTGCCTGGCGTGAAATTGACTATCGACTTGATATTCTCTGTGCGACGAAGGGAACACACTTGGAAGTTCATTGACATGGGTCATGAAATTTTTGAGTCTATCTAACCATATATGTTATTAATTTTAATCTATCTTTATTATTTTATGAGTTATTAAACATCAAAATGGGCCTGGGACTTTATAAACACCCTGTATTTTTAGCGTTTATAAATTTCAACTGCTTTATGCCAAGAAACAGCAATTATCGTGAAGTAATCATCGGGGGTGGTAAAAGTCAGTGAACAGGGGGCTTAGCCCTCTAGCAATCCCCCCCCCTAGTAAAAATGACAATCAAACTGACTAACCAAAACAATCGTAGCAGGACTTTTGTAGAGTAATATATTAAAAGTTGCGCGCAATATTTTATTAAGTATGAAAAATATGAGAACTGAGTTTCTCCAAACTTTAATAAAAAGTGGCAGCACCTTTAGTAATATTAAATTATTCATATGGAAAAAAATTTAAATCTCACCTTTTACCACGTAAGCAGCTAAGTGCCGGTTTTAAAAACATGAAATAGTCTCCAAGTGAAAAACTCACATTTGTTGACATTCTGAGGACTTGATTAGAGTATTACTTATTTAAGTAAAGACACTTAAAAACGTTTTAAGGGAGATTTTACTTAACACACAGGTATTACAAAAGTCAGTTAAAATAGACAAAAATCGATCTAAAACATGTTAAATTCACATGTTTACTCTAACCCTGTGTAAATGATGATATTTCACGAACAATATTGTTTGTGATTGAAAATAAACCTTCAGGTGATAAGATAAGAAATAGCTTACGATAAGTTGATTAGTTCTTATTTTGTGTTTCACAGATAATAGCAAATATTATTTATCTTGTATTTATCGCTTCTTTCCAATTATGATTGCGTCCCCGAAATATTTTCCAAAAGAATTTTCTGTGTTTTATCGAATTAAATATACAACAAGTTCAACACTTTTAATTCATCTGATTTATCGAGGACAAATTTAGCAACAATTTTCTTATAAACGGAAAAGAGGTTTGCTATGTAGTTGAAATGTTTTATGAGTTGATGAGCGGAAAAAGATTAATATTTCTTAAAAAATGAAAAATAATGCTAAATCGAAACTTTTAAAAATATTTAGTTGCATCTCTTAATTAAAGAGAATTTTTATGTTTATTATTATGGCTATCATTATAAGAATAATATTTTACACTAGCATACATTATTTTACAATGTTTTAGTAGTTAAACCAGTATTTTTAAATTTCTAATTTTAAAAAAACTTTTTTTATTACACAAAGAAATTTAAAAAAAACATGATACAGATAAGGTATACTTTTATTAAAATCGTTTAAATTTATAAAAATTCTGTCGCAAATTTTTCAGGAAAATTGGTATTAAAGGTGGGGGTATTACGGATTAAAAGGTATATCTCTTTACTAGTGGTTGTGTTTAAAAAAACATTGAAATTATAATTGGTTTTATCAATTTTAAAATTAAAAAAAAATTATTTTTTCTGAAAATATCCACTAGTTTGAAAAATGTATTAGTTGAGAGTGAAGAAAAATTAACTTTTTTGCTGATATAAGATATTTAGATGTAATGAATAGTTGTCTCTTTTCATGTGTGCTTTATATTTTTGTAAATTTTGTTTTTCAAAGTAAGTAGAAGCCAAAACGAATTTGATCAAAAAACTAATGAGCAAATATAAATGTAATAAAAGGTAAATATATGTAAATAATAATACTGCAAATTTTACAATTTCCATCAATTTATAAGAAAGTTTCAAAACCACGTAAAACAATGGTTGTTACAGAAAATTCTTATTCATAATACATATTATTAATTTTACTAAATATATTCATATATTTTAATCATAAAACAAAATTAACATATTTAAATGAGTGAAGATAATGTTTACTAATAACTTGATGCAAGATAAGTAAAACAAATTAATGTTCTTTAAGCACTGAGATTGCTCATTATGCACAACAAAAAAATAATCAGAGAAACTTAGCTCAGCTTAAATACGCCATTTTGCTGGTAAAGATTGGCTTGCTCTGACGTTATAGATCATATGTGTGGGTATGGGAGATCCTCTTCTTGAAATAAAAGTACCCAATTAAAATTAAACATCTTTTATTTAATTTTAAAACTTGCCGAACATTTCGCAAAGAAGAACACTCCATTTGTAATTTTATCGCGTCAGATGCAATAAAACTTTCCTCCGAAGAAATGGAATCATTCCCTCTACTCGCATGTCGTTTCGTTCGAGGACATCTCTTCTGAAAAAGAACTGTTCCCTTTCACTTCTTTTATTTTCAATATGATACTATTCATATAGAGATTGCCGAATGAATGCATTCGCATACAATGAGGTGAAACGGCTTCGAATCCCAGCGATGGCTGGTTGATACGAATTCCGCATCCGGATTGCACCGAGCACAGTGCTGACGTAAAATATCATCAGTGGTAGACGGATCGTGGGTTAGTGCCCCTTCCGTCAGGCTAACCGTGGGAGGTTTTGGCAGTTTTCCTCTCCGTGTAACGCAAATGCGAGTTAGTTCCATCAAAAGTCCTCCACGAAGGCAAATTTCTCCCAATACTTGATCCAGGTGTTCCTTTGCCTTCTGGATTGGGTTCAAAATTACAATGCTTCGGAGTTGAGCATTGGTTGTCGTGAACCCAAAATAGGGTCGGCTGTTCAACGATGGTTATAAAATATAATAAAATTATTGCACGTTAATTTTTACAACAGCTGGGTCTGTTTTGACTTGGGAATTTTTATTGAGGTATCTTTTATTACACTCAAGGGATTGTTTCACCACAAATCAAAGGGAAATGTTTTCACCACAAATATAACAGGAAAAATTTCTTATTTCTTCTTTAATCTCTTGTAATTTCATTTCTTCTTGATGTTTTTTTGGGGGAATACATTTCCCTTCTTACAGTGAGTTCTCATCGTTTGTGCTATATCTAGAGTTAGAAGAATTCACCTCATAAAAAGGTTTTTTTTTATGCAAAATATAAATCACACAGGCTTAAACTTTCCTGTCTTATGTTAATGCGCTTCACGGTCTCCTGATCGGTATAATTTATCTCTAATTAATAGTTTTTTTTTAATGTTTCGAAATTAGAAACGTTTCGCAATTTACAGAATTGCTTAAAACCGGTAGCCAAACGTGAAGCAAATTGAACATGAGTTTCATTCGACAAGCGTTTTGCTTTCTGAAAATTTAGCAAACATGCTAAAGGTGTTTTTCAAACTTTTTTAGAATAGTGTATTTTATTTTTTGATGATCTTTTATGTCGAGTCGTAATGGCTAATGGGATAGAGCGTTTGCCTTTCAATGAGGTGAACTGGTTCGAATCCCAGCTATAGCTGGTCGATACGAATTCCGCATCCAGCTTGCACCAGCCACAGTGGTGACGTAAAAATATTCTCAGTGGAAGACGGCTCATGTGTTAGAGTTTCCTTGTCGTCAAGCTAACCGTGGGAAGTTCTCGTGGTTTTCCCTTCCATGTAACACAAATGGTGTGGTTAGTTCCAGCAAGGTCCTCCATGAAGGCAAATTTCTCCCCATACTTGATCCAGGAATTCCTTTGTCTTCTGGATTGGATTCAAAATTACAAGGCTACGGAGTTGAACATTATTACACGTAAAACCAAAACGTTGGATCGGATGTTTAACGACGGTTATAAAATAAAATATTTTATGTCCTCATCCTTAATTTAAATTAAAATATTTGCAACTTTCTCCCCCATTTAATTTTACGATATTTCTCCGGTTAATTCCTCAGGTAGCTCTTTGTATTGAAAGCTCTCTCTAGGGATAAAAAAAATAACTCCACCCTTCCGTTTTTTTGGGAATCGGCAGAGTTGAAGCGCAAACGGTGCGTATGGCATTGTCAAATGAACTTATATTTACGTTTTCTGAAATCATTGCACTATTTGGGCTCTTTAACGCACTCTCTAATGTAACTTTCTCTAAATTAATACCCTCAAATTCTAAAAGTGATTCTTTCTCAAGTTTAGTTTTCTCAGAAATTATTTTTCCCTTCTAACTGGATTCCAATTTGCAAGAACTAACCGCTCTTTTTTTCTCTTAATATACTAATATATGAAACAATTTCACGTCTATACTTACATCAACATCTTTATTGTAAAATTCTATTTAACTCCAAAAATTGGCGCTGCCAACCTACAAATTTATAAAGTAAAATATTAATTATTTGAGGCTGGTTTCTAACATTCGCTGCCGTACAGTAGAAGAGATTGCATTGAATATTTTCATTTTTAATTTCAAATTCAAACATTGTGATTTTTATACGCCGAAAAGCATTCTGAAGGAGTTCAATGCCGTTTTAGTTCTGCTCGCCTGTATAAAAAAGGAAAAATATTACGTTTGAATATGATATAGAAATGATACCTGCTTCGTGGAATAGAAAACCAATATTCTGAACGTGCTCGTTTCTTTCCGTAAGAAAGGACAGGCGAAGGCTGGGGCTTTCGCTCCTTCGGTATGCCCATCCTCAAACACAGGTACAGGGGAGGACCTTCTGTATCCTCACCTGGTTTCCTCTGGCTCAACAATTCTAAAAATAATGACTTCCAGTTAATTTGAAACACTATAGTAGACAGAACAAATGCCAAACCTAACCACTACCGTTATGTTTCTTCCACTATAGTTATACATTAATAATTCTCATGTATGTCATGTATCACCACAAAAAGTTGTCATTTTAGTTACTTATTTATCACAAAAAAATTGTTTTAGCCAAATAGAAAAGTGTTTAATTTGATTAGTCTGCCGAAATGAACCCTAAAATTTCCCTTTTCTTTAAATGTAAAACTAATTTTGAATTTTGTTCTCAAATATAAAATTTTACACATGAAATAACAGTAAGAAAAATGTAAAATTCGTTGATTTAACGATAATAAATTTCAATAAAAAACACGCGGTCTAAAATTCACAACATTTCCATAAGCGTTTATTTTTATTTAAGTAAAGATCTAATTGTTAAAATGAAACTACAAAACAGTTCCCAAGAAGAATTGAAAAGCATATTTCATAATTTTAATGAATGAAATGGTGGAAAGAAAATTATAAAAAAAAATTTATGAACTCTTTTTCTATGCAAATAGGCAATTCTATGCTGATGGACGTTACATTTTGATAGGTTTCCTTAATTTAAAACTTTTTTCTATTGATAGATATTTAATATATTTTTTTAAAAAATTAAATGGGATGTTTTTAATAGCCTAATATTAATATTACTAAAGAAAAACGGAATAAAATTATAAAAGCTTTATTTAGAATAAAAATATAAAATGTGACTAACGTTACGTAGAAGAAACGTAAAGTAAAACAACATATTTTTATTTTAAAATTCTCCGTATTCTATAAACAATAATAGAATTAATTTTTCAAAATTCATTTTAAAAAATCTGAATCTGAAATTAACAGGAAACATTGAAAGTATACATGTAGGGACAAAGTTGTTGTGATTGATGTTACATTTTTTATGTGACTGATGCTACTAATACAAACTATATAATAAAATTTAATAAACTATTTTATTATTACAAAATACTTAAAGATTTCAATTTTTGTTTTATATTTAAAATCTAACTATTTATAAAAATCTAATCATGGTGTCGCAGTTTTCCATTCTTGTCGGTGTGCATTTTTATTGACTGGATCCAGTTTCTCCTCATTCATTTCCATAGTGTTTTGGTTATCATCAGCATAAAATTAATAAAAGTTGTAAAGGTATTCGCGATCGCAACGCTTGAACACGCCCTCTAGCGGGTAGTATATTTTCAGGCTTTTATTTATTAAGTTTTCATTTAGTTCTATCAAAAACGTTGGTAGAGTAGGCCGACAAGCAAATAAGAAGCGCAATAATTTTAGCAGCAAATAAGAAGCAAAATTTCCCTAAGGAAAAGGCAGAAGAACTTGGAAAAAAAAACGACCCAGAACATCGGTAAATCTTTCTGAAACTGAACGTGCCCAACATTTGAAGAACACTTTCTCAATAATTTTTAGCTTTTTATTATCAACAAGCTTGCAACAGATAACTTCCGACTTCGTGATCGCATACTGTTACAGATGTGTGTATTACGGTAGAATACTTTCAATTCATTACAAACTAAAGTGACTTCAACATTGCTTACTTCATTCCAATGAATAAGTGTGACTTCAGAACGTGCAAAACTACACTAGTTATAGAATATTATTATTCTTTATAGAATAATATATATTTCCGAATCTATATAATTCGAAAAACAACAATAAAAAATCATCCGAATTTCTTGAAATAGTATCGTTTGTGTTGATTATTAATAATTTTTTATAGTTTTCTTAATAAGTATTTTTTAATTTTGAACGAATAATTTCTACTAGAATTCAGTTTTTCTGTTTTTAAGTTGCATATTGAAATTCATATCGAGATCTTACAATTATAAAATTTTGTTGTGTGGTAAGTCATCTAAAAGTAATGAACTAAATGTAACTATGTATATATTATTTGAAAATAAAATTTTCAAACGAAGAATATTTCATTTGGAATTCTGCAGATTTATAAAGCAAGTAACTGTTATGATTTTTATAATAAAAAATTTACTTGTAAATAAAAATTTTTTCTAATTTGATGATAGTTCTCTACAGAAGGGTTTTCTACGTCTGATTAAGAACTTTAAGACTAGAAAAAAAAAAACAATATGAAAGTTTTTTATTTTAATATGCGGAATTTTCAGAATCGATTTTTTTTTTATCATAAGCATTCCTTATTTTTCGTTTTTAGTTTTTGAATAATGATTTTTTATTGAAACTTAAAATTTTTTGATAAAAATTGTAGTGAAAAAACATTTTTTGCAAAATTAAATGGTATAACATAATGTGATTCTGTATGCTTTTTGCATGATTTTAACGTTTGAAGTAATATGATACAGAAAAGTATGGAATGTAAAATTAAAATTTCACGCTAGATCATTAAATTTAGTAGAATGATTTCTCAGGCACTATGCTTAACTCTAATTACAAGAGTTTTTACAAATATTTTCCGGTGTGTTTCGGATGTTCGTTCTTTAAAAAAAAGATATTCCATTTGTTTTCACTAGCATACGAAAGAATATCATACATTTTTTTTTAAATTTAATGAGCCACAATAAAGAAGGAACATTACCATGCTACACTGAAGAAATCTCCAGTGCAACTGATAATCCTGCTAGCAGGAATTCGTCTCAAATAACAACACCCCCTATAGGTCGTTGCATTCGAGAATTGTTTTTCTGTAAATATTTTTGAATCCCTAATTTAAAGGTATTTTTCTGTACTGCTATTATTACGCTTTTGATTTAAGATTTTAAATTTAAGAGAAATGTTGTTGTTTTTTGTTTCATTATTATTTTAACGTAATTCTTCGCTACAATTTAAGATAAAGATATTTAAAAAGGTGTTTAATCTTATTAACAGTTTCACAATTATTGTATTGTAGTATTTAATATATCCGCCCATTTCGTCAGCGAAAATATTGAATTACGGTTGTGAACCCACCAAATTCGTTCGAACAATATAATGTTATAAACGTTACTTTAAAAAATGATTTCTAAGAAAAATTACTTCTGTTTACCAATAGATCTAAATATTTATAATATTAATAGATAATAATATTCGAACGTGAGAAGTGGGGGCAAAGGTGTAAGTCAACAGATTTCTTTTTAGTACATATATGTTACGTAAATGATTTCAACTTTTGTCTTTCTGCCAAAAAAAATAATAAGCAATCATCGAGGTTGGTGAGGGGCAGCAAACAGGNCATTGAAAAAAATTTTTATTAAAGCAGGAAAGAAAGTTGAACTTTTTTAAGAGATTTTTTTTTTCAGTTTCAATTGTTTTCTGGGTCATTCGCAACCTGCATGCATAATTTTTAAAAGACACCGCATCCTTGCCGCATAATTTTTAAAAATCGCCGCATCCTAGCCGCATAATTTTTAAAAAATTTCCGCATAATTTATAGGGCCCTAATTTATAATATTAATAGATAATAATATTCGAACGTGAGAAGTGGAGGCACAGGTGTAACTCAACAGATTTCTTTTTAGTAATTATTTTAGCTTTCAATTTAAAAATTAATTTAACTTTTGTAAAAAAAAATTTAAAAAAAAAGACTGTTTCAGCCAAAAAAAAAATAATAATAATTATTGCGAAGCAATCATTGGGGTTGGTGAGCGGCAGCAAACAGGTGGCTTAGCCCCCTAGTAGTTAATAAAAAACTAAGAAATTTGTTAATGGAGGAATGCTTTTAAGTGTTCATTTATTTGTTGTTACGTTGCCCTTTGATCATGGAAATATCCTAATACAATTTATATGTTTTAAAGCGTTTGTAAAATAAAAAAAATTCTTAGTAGCCATTTTGCAGTGACTACTACTACAGATAATATTTCGCTTAAGAAATTTCAAATCTATGTTGTTATATTTTGTTTTTAATCATTCAATTCGAAACTTAACAGGAAGACAAAGTTTACAATATAGCTTACAGAAGATAAAGTATAGTTCAAAAAAAGGATAGGAAGGGGGGAAAGTTCAGCTCATTAGACTTAATCTTTTCAGAAATCACCCCATTTAAATTTCGTTTTTTGATTTTTATCACCGTACGATGATAATCAACAAGTTTTAAACTTGCAGTCTTTATTTTCCAAACTATTCCGAAATCCAGTTCATTTATAAAAGGTTTAAAAAAATAAAAAGTGCAGAGATAAAAATGTATATAATGCAGAATAATATTTTAAAATATATTTTGAAAATAAATGAGAGAAAATCTTCTACAAAGAGAAAAGCATTTCTCCTCTGTAAAGTAACGTGTTTTATTTAAAATAAAAATCCTTTTTTTTTCCAACGCTTTTCCATGCATTTTTCATCATTAAATTCAACTCTAAAAATGCAGATTACAGAACTGGAATTAAATGCTGCGAGAGAAAGATTTTTAAATGAAAGAAATACATCCGAAAGAGAAAATGCAATTCCACTTGACATCGGTAAACTCATTCCCGTTCAAAGTTTACAAACAATGGCCGGTGAAGAGGAAAAGCGAGAATGAAAGGAAGGAAAAAGAAACTCACTGTCGAGTGCCTCGAAGATTTCCGGCTTTTCTTCCACAAGATTCTGATACCTGCTGGGACCACCCTCCACTGCCCCTTCCTCGCACACCTCCTCTTTGACTTCTTCCTCCTCGGAGCCACCCTTCACAGATCCAGAGAAAAGGGATCCAGAAAAGTCGACGAAAGACTTGGGCGACGAGGTGAGAATACGAGAGATGGAGGTGATAGACTCCATGGGGTAGGAAAGCCGCTTCAGCACTCGTTCTCTGCGGCTCTCAGAGGGCTGCTGCTTCTCCTGCAAATAAACACTTTTACACTTCAAGCATTTAAAGAAGATCTTCTTTTGTTAACGCTTTCCTGATTCCGAAAAGAATTCTTTCATTAAAGTTATAATGTTATAGTATGTTTGAGTTCGAGCAAAAAGTCAATATCAAAAAACTCTGGAAAAGTGAAAACTAAAAAAAAAGTTCAATCAACCATTTCAAATCCTCAATCTAATTTTGAAAAATGGGATTATATAAATAAACGCGATTGAAAATGGAAAATTTAAAAGAAATTCATTCTGGAATGCTATCACCTTAATCAAAATTATTTCAAAAGTTTATTAAACTTAATTGATTTTATATAAACCTTATTTTTAAAAGATTAAAGTCTTTTACCATGCAATTAATGTACTGGAGAGCTAGTTGTCTACTGACCTATTGTTTAATTGCCCAACATTTCTGAAATAAAATAAATATTTTTAAAAGATTGAGATAGATTTGTATTCAATTACGTATCTACGCTTTATGTTTTTACTAATAATTTTATTTTATTTAATAGCCATGGTTGAACAACCGAACCGATTTTATGGGTTTACGATTACTAATATTCAATTCCGTAGCCTTGTAATTTTGAAACCTTTAAGGAACATCTTTAACATGTATTGAGAGACATTTGTCTTTGTCGAAGACTTTTTGATGGAGCTAACCCGCATTTGCGTTAGATGGAGAGGAAAACTAAGAAAACCCTTTAGCCGGACGGCAAGCGGACTCTAACGCATGATCTGTCTACCAATGAGGATATTTTACGTCAGCACTGTGGTCGGTGCGAGCTGGGTGCGGAATTCGAATCGACTAGCCATCGCTGGTATTCGAGCCCGGTTCACCTCAATGACTAATAATTTTAACGGAGAGAAGTACTAGCTTTTACAGAACTTATTTCTTGAATTGAATGAGTTGCGTCAATTCAAAGAACGGCACTTTTCCATTTCGCCAGCGGCTATTTTATTTATTTATTTGCCACTTTAAAATAGAAATAATAAAAAAATAGTTGAATTTGCTTGCACTTAATAAGTTTACATTGGGGACTGAAACGCCTGTACCGGCGAAATGGAAAAAGTACTTTAAACATTTACGGGAAAAGGATTTAAAGGAAAATCTCTCTTTTTAGATATTTTTGTTTAGTTGAAGAATTTTATTTAATGTACAAGCATATCATAAGTCTATAAATTTCCTCGACCCGAGAAATTTAAAAAGGGTCAGTATTGTCCTAAAATACTTTATAGTTGATTTTTCTAGACTATTGATGGCACTAGCTTTAAAAATCACCATTTCGTTTTATAGATGAACTTATTTCTAATGAAAAATAAGAAATACAATGACTTTAAAATGTGCTTAATATATAAGTTCAAACCATAAAAGAGAAATACGACGCATATTTCAATTTTTCCCCTCTACTCACTCACAATGCTGCTGTGGCTAGCCCTCGATTGTTAGCAAAGCTAAATCAAGTCCATGACACCAGCAACTCTGAGAGCATATTAGGCACGTAGAACTGATCCACAAAGAGATCATCCTCAAGAGAGACCAAGGCAGTCGAGGATGTGGACAGGTTCAGGCTACACAGGCCCACTTAGAACATGTAATCTGCTCTTTATAACATCGCGAAAACGAAAAATGACAGTCTGGTCTTGTCTGCTGCACTGGAGGGGCAGGGAACCACCTGAGTGATTACTCTGATGCCATTGGTGTGAGCAGGAGGGACAGTGGGACCGCGTAGATTGATAAAGCGGGAATACACTTCTGAAACGGTCAGGGATGCCTGAGAAAACAAGGGCAGAGCTAAGCCATTTTTAGCAAGTGAGTCTTCAGACTCACTTGTAATGTCAACATAGGAAAGGATCCACTGCAAGTGACTCTCCCTAGCGATGGAAAGTCTTTTCAGCTGGTTCAGAATATCCCACGTCATGCCACTTTGAAAGATGTCGGACTGACACTCCGGGTATCACTCAAAATCCAAACGTCTTTCAAGCTAGGAAGTGTAAGTACTCTATTGAGTCCAGCTCCTATAGCATTTAATTCACTGCGAAAGGCGGAGCAGCCGTCAGGATTTCTCAGTTTGATATTGTATGAGGTGTTATTGAATCTGATATATACTCCCCTAGCAGAATAAGTATTTTCATTCCTGATACCATCTGTATAAATATGAGTAGCCTCCTTTGTAATATTATTGATTAAATCGAGAGCAATCTGCCTCAGATGTAAAAGCATGACTGATGATTTGTTAACATGAGTAGAAATGTTTTATAGGAAAAACATATTGGGAAGTCCTTCAGATGAATCAATGGCTCTCTGGATGAAGTATGGCTCTACACCACTTTAAATCAAATTCTCACCAACCACTTAAAGGGGATATTTTTTCCTGATTGTTACACCAACTCCGAAGAAAAGCAGACCTTCGATTATTGAATACAAAGCTTAGGAATTTGATAAAATATTTTGCTAGATATGAGTTTCTTCGAGAGCTGAGTGGTTGCCAATCTGCCTCAAAAAAGACAATGTCGTTAGGGCAGCAGCTACTTAGACCTGCAGTAATCTAAGCAGCCCTAAGATCGAGTTCTGGGAGTTTAGTTTTAAATACACAACAGTAGACCGAGTAACCATGTTCCAGAATAGGTCTAATAAGCGCCAAATAAGTACTACAAAGTGTAATACTCTGTGCCATAATACTGTACTGTATAATACTCTTAAACACATTAGTTAAGCCCAAGAAGGTCGCCATGGTGTGATGAGTTGGCTTCTTGTTATGTGCTTCAGGAATTCTTTGTACCAAGCAGAGTTCCTCGTCTGTGGTGCTGTGACCTCTTCTAAATCTTTTGGGAGACGCTCACGGGAATTAAGATAAAAGAAAAGTATCTTTAAAATCATTTTCTCCGTTATCTTGTATGCAATTGAAGTAAGTGTGATGGGTCCGAAATTCTCGAGCATCTTTCTGTGGTTTTCTGATTTCCATCCAAACAATTTTTTTATAATTATTTTCTATTAATCATTATCATATTTAGACATAGTCAAATAGTCGTTATTCGTTAGATAGCAAAATACGAAATTTTAGCGAAATCTTTCCAATTGTTCCTAAGAAATCAAATTTTAAAAAAGTCGTATAATTCGTCTGCGCAAATTAATTAGCATATTTAAGTTCGCCCTTTTAAACCACTAAGATTGAGTCTCAGTACGTGAAGATCCAAATTATTTAGGGTGTTTCATTTCATTTCTTTTTTTCTTTTTTTTTTGCACTGCACATAAAACTTTCATTAACAATTGACATCCTTTTAGGAACACGCCTAGGTATTTTCTGGTATTAAAGTTAAAAAAGTAACCAAATGATTTAAAGGAACTTCATAAATTTTATTAAAAATAATAAAAGACAAACAACAAGGAGTCAATCACTCAACTAGTCACGTACTCTTGTGTTTAAGGAGAAATTCTCTAAAAACTTTTCTATGAGCCATGGTGGCTCAGGGGATAGAGCGCTCGCCTTTCAGTGAGGTGAACCCGGTTCGAATCTCAGCAATGGCTGGTAGATACAAATTCTGCCCCCAGCTCGCTCCTGATGTAAAATATCTTCAGCGGTAAACGGATCATTATGAGTTACAGTCCCCTTGCCGTTAGGCTAACTGTAGGTGGTTTTCGTGGTTTTCCTCACAATGTAACGCAAAATGAGGTTTAGTTCCATCAAAAATCCTTCATTAAGGCGAATTTCTCAAAATACTTGATCCAAGAATTACCTTGTCTTCTGGATTAGGTTCACAAAGATGAATATTGGTAGTCGTAAAATCAAAATTGGGTCAACTCTTCAACGACGATTATGAAATAAAAATAACGTACTTTTCTATAATTAATTTAGAGCCGTGGTGGCTCAGGGCATAGAGAGTTCGCCTCCCAATGAGGTGAACCAGGTTCGAATCCCTGAAACAGCTGGTTGATACGAATTCTGCCCCCAGCTCGCTCCTGACGTAAAATATCTTCAGTGGTAGGCGGATCATGGGTTAGAGTCACCCCTTGCCGTCAGGCTAACTGTGGGCCGTTTCCGTGGTTTTCCTCTCCATGTAATGCAAATGCGGGTAATTTCCATCAAAAAAGTGCTCCACAAAGGCAAATTTCTCCCTTTATTTGATCTTGGTCCCTTGTCTTTTAGATTGGACTCAAAATTACAATTCTACGGAGTTGAATACTGGTCGTCGTAAACTCAGACATTTGAGTCGGCTGCTCAACAACGGTTATAAAGTATAGCTAAATTATTTATTGTGATTCGTACCTGAATTTCTGAAGCAGCGAAAGCGTTGCTTACTTCTTCATCAAAGCTGTCTACGGAATCAACGGCCGTTGGTCCTATAATAGGCTCCGAAGAAACCTCATCTGAAAAAATTAGTTTTTGTATCTTTATTTTTACGAAACAAAATGTTAACAATTTTAATGATAATTTAAGAAATAATTTGCTTGTTTTTTTTTAATTCGCAGATTTAAAAAAAATGAAAATAATATATTTTTGCTTGTTTTTATGTACACTGACGAAAAATACATTTCTGTAAAAAAATGAAACACAGAGGTAATAATGCGTTTTTATTATTTTTTTTTTCAATTTTTAAGTGTACTGACAAATAATAAACGCTTTCTGACAAAAAATGAAACATTGAGATTAACATACATTTTTCTTTTTTACGAGTTTTTATAACACTGTTGAAAAAAGAACACTTTTTGACAAAAATGAAACATGAAATTAATAATACATTTTCGTTTCTTAAAAATTTAAGTCATTTAACAAAAAATAAAAGCTTTCTCTAGCTAATTATGTAAAAAAAAATCTTTAAGCATGATTACACATACTGAGTTTTTATGTTTCATTAAACAAACAAAATGAAATTCACTTTTACATAAATACATTTCATTTTCCTTTAGAACCTTTTAAGAAATAAACGATCCCCTTATAAAAAAAGTTTGCTTCAAATTTATTTATAAAGTATTGACTAAAATATTTTTGACACAAACAACCACTAGTTTGAATGCAATGAAATAGGCAAAAATATTGGATCTGAAAATAATTCTGTCTCTATGACATTTCAAAAAACTTCATAAATGATTGACAAAATAATCCAAATTTCAATAAAAGCTACAAATTTCTTTATATTTTGAAAAAAAAGTAATGTTAGCAACTTCTTGTGTTTCCTTACATTTATAAGGTTAACTTTCTTTTACTTACCACATTATTTACTAATTTACTTCATGTTTTCTAAAGTTCATAATGAAAGAAATAATTTGTTTTTCCGTTTACAATAAGACAGATTTATTAAGAAAAATACAATTTTTTTTTATATTTTTAAATCACAAGTACCTTATATGTCATTGAAAGTGAACTTACAAGGAGTTCTTTAATAGCTACCTTTAATATGCATCTTTAGAATCCTTCTCGAAAATAAAGTTTTAAAAGAAAAATCATACACACATTTGAGGTCATAAAGTATTAATTAATTAAGCTAGAATGAAAGTATCAAAACAAGTTTGATTGTCTGATGAAACCGTGGTTGCTTATATCAATCACCTTTTAACTCATCGCTGTTTATTTTGGCAATCAAACGGGCTTTGGCATTTTCAGTCTTATTCACTACCGAGAAATGTAAAACCGAAAATGTTAGTTCGATTTCAATGGATGTCATTTTTTTCATGGTTTAAATATCAATTTGTGTCCTCTGATCTGTATACTCTTTTTTTTTTAAGTTAACCTCTTAAAGCAGATGAGACACCGGTGTCCATTTTATATATTTTTTATGGCGCTCTAATTACAAACAAAAATTTTTTTTAGAACTTTAATTATAAAAAACAGTCTGATAATTACTAAAAAATGTTAGATTATCGATTATATTTCTACTAAAATATAAAATCTAAAATTAAAAAAAAATTATCAGATTAAAAAATTATTAAAAATTTTTCAAAAATTTATCAGTAATTAATTTTGTAAATTAAAGAAATTTTAATGATTAAAAATTGTTTTTCTTAAATCTAATTAATAATACAAATTGCGAATAAGTGCAAGTTTGAAAAATCATGGTCTAAAATTTAGCCGTATTTGGAAGATTTTACTCTTAACTCGGAAAGATACGCCGGTGTTTCATGCTGTGTTTCATGCTGTATTTCATAACCATAAATTATTAATGAGCTAATTCTACTTCAAAGGGTTAATTTTTGACTAGGATTCGAAAAATACAGATTAAGAGCGGTTATAACAGAAAACCCTGTTTATTTCTTTAGAAAACTGGCAACTTTAAAAACGTTAAGAGTGCTCTCACTCCGAATAAACATTTTTTTTTGTAGAGTTTAAAGCTAAAATAAAATTCTAAAAATATTTAAAAACTGCAATATAAAATTAGAAAGTTATAGCAACGGATAAAACTACAACGAAAAAGCAAATTGTTTTTAAAATGTCATAAAAATAAAAAAATTGTCTATCTTAAAGTCGTCGCCTCAAAAATGGTAAAAATCAGAAGTCATAATCATAAAAAGCAATGTCTTGAACGTGCAAAAGAGGCTTAATTCTTTTTTTTTTCTGTTGAATTTCTCTAACTAAAGCAGCTGCGAGGCCAGCACTTGATGTATATGTGTCTTCCTTTCTAATATCGATATTCTGAGAAGAGGTCACTAGAGCGAGACCCTAGCCATCGATTCAGCTAAGTTCGTTCGGCCGAAGGAGACAACTTGCGAACATTTTTCGGAAACTGCTGCTGAAGGAAAAAATATTCCGAAAATGAAGGAGGAAAAAAAAAAATAAGGTATTGATCCGTTGCTTCCCTTCAGCCTTTTCTTAGGGAAAGAGTTTGGAAAACTGATTGCCTGTCATAAATACAGGTGTTCCCTGCTTTTTTGCGGTGCTCCTCATTTTTGAAAAAGGTTCTCTTTTATTGGCGGAGGTAACAAAAGGGAATTTCCAGTTTGATGCCGACAGCGATTTATTTTATTTACGTAACATAAATTAAAAATGTTTTTCAAATCAGAATGGTTGGAGTTTCGAGAAACGCGGAGATGTAATAAATTTTTAAAACGTCTGAGGAAAGACGGTTCATTCGTAAAATGAACTCAATATTTTTTCGTAAATACAGTTGACAGTGAATCAATACATTTTTGAATTTTAGCAAGACTGATTTTTATATTTTAGTAATATGTATTTTTAGAAAACTTATTTTTTTTTATATTCGCCTGGCTCTTGGTGATTTAATTGAAAACCATAGAAAGGTTGCAGTGCAGTGGCGCATTGTGGACTCCAGGGAAATAAAACAGCTGATTCCCTGGCAAAAAAAAAGCAACCAAAATTGCTCAAAAAACTGATAAAACAATACCTTTCTGTACCGACAAACGGTTAATTAAAAAAGTTCATTAGAGAGAACTTTTGGCGTAATATAAGGGAGGCAAATAAAGACAAAGAGATGAACAGAGGAAATCACAAATATTCGGTTATGGCCAAGGGACAAATCTGTCGCTACTTTTAGCCTCGCTTCTGACCCCGATTGCCTCACCAAGCATTTATATAGGATAAAAATTCTTTCAAGTCCTTTCTGCCAATTGTGCAACATTTGTGAAGAAACGAACGCAAACCATTTGAGTCCTGCACTGGACTCGGGACGAACAAATACTGGAGAGCTCATCACAAGATGAACGAATTATAGACTTACTGTGGTTTCAGTTTTGCTATCTCTGTTTCTTGTTTTAATTTTATTGTTTGTTTTTCTGTCTACAACTGTCTTTTAATCTGATATTCGAAATATATTTTTACGGTTTCAACACTATGGCCTTATTATTTCGATAAACAACAAAAAATATGACTGTCGTCCTACAGCATTACATTCTCCCTAAACAGAAAAATCACATGGTATGGTTGTTAATAAACAGAGAATATCCAGATATATCTTTGGTAGTAAAAATAAAAGTTATAAATTGATTTGCTTGTAACCAGTAATGTTTGTTTATCATATCTTGTGAATATGATTCACTGTTATTATTACGCTCTAGATTTTGGATGTTATTCTTTTGAATCAAAATCAAAATCTAGAAGAGAAAAGATAGAGTTCAAATTAAAAGCGGCGTTCCTCTCTCAAATTATAAAGCTATTTATAAAATTCATTAATACATCTTTTGCAATAAAAATAATTTGCTTGATATTAAACGGTAAATAAGTTATACTTTTATAATAGATACTGCGTAACTTATACTGATACTGCGCAGTTTTACAGTATTTAAACTGCGTCCATTAAACATGCACAAATAAAACAATAAAGAGGGAAGGAGCCATTTAAAATTGTTTAGTAGTTACATTTTTGACTCTATGGACGTAAAAAACATGTATCAAATTTTTATTGCAGCCGAAAAAATTAAAAATGGATTTATAAAACATGACATAAAAGGAAGTTTCTAGGCTAATAGATTAAAATTGTCTTAATTTGTGTTAATTCAATAAAACATTACAGTCTTTTAATTGAATTTTTACGTAACAGAACGTTTAAACTTAAGTGGTTGAGCAGGAATTGGTGCTGACATAATATCATCTAATAATAAAAATGCCCTTGCTCCGAATAATTTTTGGGGGTAAAGTCTTATAGAACAGGTAAGATATCAAGATCTTACAGTAGGATATCAAGATCTTACAGTAAGATATCAAGATCTTACAGTAAGATATCAAGATCTTACAGTAAGATGTCAAGATCTTGTCCAGTATTTATGCCAATCGCCATTAAACAAATATAAGAAGTTTTAATAGATTCATAAAAAGTTTTAATAGATTCGTAGTTTTTATGGTTAGTTCTAAAGAGGGTATTTCGTAATAACCACCCTATGATGCCACTATAGGCATTCTTAGCTTTTAAAATTTGTTTAATTTCATTTTTTTTTAAATCTTTCTTAATCGAATTTTATAAACCAATTACGAAATTTTTATTACATTTTTATAAAAAGCTAACAAATATTTTTATCTTTTCTTTACTATCAATGTAACGTCTACGTTTTCATTTTAATATAAATGTAAAACTTGTTAATTCACTGTCGCGACTTAATCGAAAACAAAATCTATTTAGAATTCATTATTCTTTATTTCTTACAGCAAAAATGCTTCAGTTATATGGTTATACTAATTCTCACAGTCTTTTGGAGATTAGCCATCGCCAAATTATTTTCAAATTTAATATTTATGAAGGGGTTTGACTTTATTTTTGGCTATTTTATTTTTAGATAAATCGCCAACCATGGATCTCTTCCCATGCTCCTAGCTGTCCGTTTGAAAAAAATTCAATTACTTTTAATTTAGAATTTCTGGTGATTCGACGGGGGGGGGGCACAGCTTCTAAGCCCCAATAGTGGAATTTTTACCCTTACAGAAATTTTTGATGTTAAGAGAATGATTATCTTGATCCCTTCTTTATTTCGTAACTTTTAAGCATGGTCATATTCTCTAAATAATAAATAAACTTTTCTCAAATGAATTTGTCTACTTTTCTATACACTTTTTCATAACAAAATTTAAATGTATCTCATACGGCCAAAATATTCTTAATACTAAAATGATGCTACCTCCACTAACTACTAAATTAGACTAACACCCATCCCCGTGACACACTCGTAATATAATTAGTATCTTTATCGCAAGTAGAATTTAAAAAATACATGCACGTTAGATCGCAAGAGGTAAAAACGGTATTAAAATCTAACAAGCCACTATTGAGGTAGGCGGAACATTAAAATCAGTCTGATTGTCTGATGAAAGGTGTTTCATCTCCCCTCGGCTATCAGAATTCGCTTTGAAGAAATTCATCGTTCTTTATTTATTATTGAATTAAATGTTCTAAACATAACTGGCTTGAGACAACTGCAGTTAATTCTAATCTTTCTTCAGTGACTGCTATGAGCAGTGGAAAAGTATCTATTAGATTAAATAAACTTGTTGGTCTCTATATGTAAGGGAAATAAATTAATTTTCCAGAACTACATGAAGTAGTGTACTATTTTTTATGCATTTTTTTTCTTTATTTTACAGTTCGGGAAACCTTTTCAGTAATTTAAGACATTTTTCAAGAAAAAAATTCAGAAGCTTTATTTTAGCCATTTTTGGTTGGGTTTTTAAATACCATAAGCTTTTTGTTTTAGTAGAGTTTAGATTATTAATTTGTACGCTTCTCTGACCGTTTTTAAACATCGACTGAAGCAATACTTTTTCGTTCGATTTACTTCATTAATTATTACTCCATTTTGATTTATTTGTGCTCCATTGTTGTTTCTTATGCTGAATCAAGTCTCAAAACTGTGAATAGTTGCCGATAAAGTATAGCTTATTACAATCGGTAAAAGAGCTGTAAATTTCCCTTGCATTTTTAAATAAATTTCAATAATTAAATCAAACATCTTGAGCTTTTTGACGTAATCTAAATATTTGAAGAAATATATATACTTTTCATACCTTTATTCTGACTAACAAATATGTGTAAATCTCCAACAAACATAAGTCAAATCTTGAATTCTTATTGCTAGTTTTATTTGGGGCATGAGTTGCTTTAGCCCTCATGATTTATTTTTGTTGTCTTTAACATGCATAGCACGCATGTCATCTGAACAAAACTTTCATTCTTGTTTAACTAGAGACTCAAGTTTTACAGTCATCAATTAGAGGATAAAATAAATGTTCTAGACGCCTTAAATTGAAAAGTGATTCAATTAACTTAAATTAAAAGTAACCCCGGATGGTAGTAATCTTTTTTTTTCTCATAAAATGTCACGCGAATTACTTTAAATAAATGGAATAAAATGGAAACGAAAATGCTCAAACTGGAAATAAAAGGATTTTAAATAGTTACTTTCAACGGGAAGGGAATTTTCTGGGCTTGTTTCATTGACTGGAGTAGTCGATGGTGTTGGTATATCTTTTATAAGAGGAGGAGATATATTCTGAGTATCTTCGTTGACAGAAGGTGCAAATTGTGCTTTCTCTTGCGAAGAATCTCTTCTCATTTCTTCTTCATAAGCTAAAGCCTCTTCTGTCATTTTGCCGAAATACACCTCTGCTTTTGGCCTAAATAAATGATAATTTCATTATTCTCATTTTTATATTGATCATTGGGTAGAGTGCTATAAAAATAAATGTGATGGAAGTGGTTTCTTATTGCATGTGAAAAATAAACATTTCATAGTGCGGTTGCAATAAAATTTATGCCATAAAAATTCATCTGGCTCAACACTCATTCTTCGTGCGGTTTAAAAATTGGTATTAATTAACGCCTCGCACTCATACATAGAACTTAAAGACATACTGAAGCAGTAAAAAAATTTGTAATGTTTCATTCGTATTATTTGTTGCTCTTTCCAGTGATACAACAATATATTACTTAACACATGGTTTTAGAAACTCAACTCATCGAAAAAAGAGATTCACTATCCCCAAACTTAATTAAAATGTTAACTTCGAAGAACTGCCGTGAGCACTAGATAGTCAAGATTAACGTTAATCAATCAATTTTGACACACAGCACGTAACTTAATTTTTTAAACTTCCATCATTGTTGACTTTACATTATTTAGGTTAAAATCTGTTTAGGTTATTTAGGTTAAACTATAAGCAATGAAAAACTTGTGATTTTATGTAGCTTTCAAAATCGCTTTTGTTTCATTGGAGCACTCTAATCATTATTTTCTTTTAAACATTTGAAAAAAGTTCTCATTTGCAATTCTAATCGGAGAAAAGCATAATGCTAATCCAATGGATAAACAAACTGGTTTTTCCCAAGTTTCTCTCGCACTGTTCTAATCAAAATTTTTGAATGATTTTAAGGGAAGCGAAGTGAAATTCATTCAATTTCAAAATTCTAACAAAAAAGATTCTAGGTTTTTAAAAGATACATTCAAATTCTTGATTTAATTAGTAAAGATACAGTTACAGGAGGTAGTCTTTCACACTATGTGTATGTTATGACGTTTGTATGTTAATGAACTGAATGTGCAAAATACATATTTTCATATTTGACTGCATAAAATGATTTCAGCAATGTGAAATACATTAAAATTAATTAATCAAAAATTTTCAACGGTATATAAATGTTATGCAATATATAATTTATTTCAAAAAATTCCCTATTTTCTTTTTAAAGTAAGCAGTTTATTTAATAAAGTGCGTCATTTATATACACTATCTACCAACAAGTATTTGTACACGTGTAATTGAAAAGAAAAACAAACTTTATTCGCAATCAGTAGTTGGTAGAGCCTCCACGAGAGGCAATTACAGCGTAAACCCTCCGGGAAATATTTTCCACAGGTCCTTGTGTGACGGATAGTGGTATTTTCTTCCACTCGGCTTGGTGAAGACATGTAAGTTCCTTCGCCGATTTTGGACGGGTAGTACACCCCTTAATTCGGTGATCCAACTCGTCCCAGAGGTTCTCGATAGGGTTCAGNCCCTGCAGTCGCTGCAGGCCTTCACCTCTTAAACTACCCCACAGAAGAGGATTTGTATTCTTTTAATGCCATAGAAATAACAAAAACTATTCAAGCACACCATGAAATATGATTCAATAGAGGATACGACACCAACCAACCAACCCTCGGGGGAATATTTTCCACAAGTCCTTGTGTGACGGATAGTGGTATTTTCTTCCACTCGGCTTGGTAAGTTCCTTCGCCGATTTTGGACGGGTAGTACACCCCTTAATTCGGCGATCCAACGCGTCCCAGAGGTTCTCGATAGGGTTCAGGTCTGGACTCTGGGCAGGCCAGTCCATTCGATTAACCCCATTGGCACCATACCATGCTTTGGTGACCCTCGCAACATGACAGTTGGCATTGTCGCCCTGGAAGTAACAGGGGTCCACCCCTTAAAACTGCACAACGTAGGAAGTACATTGTCATCCAAAATAGTGCAGTAGGCATCGGCGTTGAGCTTACCATGAATGGGGACTTAGGGTCCCAATCCATACCAGGAGGGCGTGACGTATCTCAGGACCGCAGATTTAGTCATTTGCATAGGTGTCCAAATACTTATTGGTAGATAGTGTAGCGTTATTTGGAAGGTGCATTAAGCTTACCTGGGAGTTGTCTCAGCAGCGGCATGTTGAACTTTCATGTGAGCTATATCAAAATAGATAGCAGCCCTCATCAACATGTCGCAAGGTGCTATGACACCATAACTCTCCACCCCATGTTCAATTACTAAAGGATCGGAGACATTGGGATCAAACATCACAGCATTGGGAGTAATTATTAACACGCCAGCTACAACGCCCTGCAAAAGAGGAATGATTTAATACAACTTAACTCAAGTATTTCCAGAATATATAAAAATTAGGTATATCTATATCAATTTATAGCATTCAATTTAAATTGCCTATCTACTGATACAATAATTTTCACAATAGTTCTCGTAATAACAAAGCAAGCAACATTATCTACGTATAAACCAGTGGTTCCCAACAGTTTGTTGCCCACCACCCGCCTCTTAAAGTTGGTAAACATATTTATCGCCCTCCTTTTTTTTATTAAAAAAACCATACATTGTTGCAAATGAGCATCAATAAATTTGAATATACGCTAAATTATACCTGATTTTACTTTAAATTAAAATGCAAATAATGAAGCAATTTTATAACGTTACTTCAGAAAATTGTTTAAAAAAATGTGTATCCATTTCACGCTTTTTTTCGACAAGAAGTGATATTTGAAGAGAAGTAATTGAAACAAGAGTACATTTTTTTTTAATTTAATTTTTAATTTAATCAGGAAAAATTGAAAAATTCAACAACTCAAATGTGAAAAAAAAGCTGAAAATTTGAAACCTCAATTGTTCATTTCTACCTCTTAAATAACTGTCTTTTGCTTGGTGGATTTCAGTTAAAGCTTGAATATCAAGCTTTTTGTTCGTTGGATTTAAGCATAGATCTCCTTTGAAGCAACTGTCCCACCTACTTCTTTGTTTTGTGCGGAGCTGAGTGGCCGAACTAATTTTTTTCCTTGTAAATAAAATAAGGGACCTTAGTGAGAAGCGATTACTGGCTTTTTTATTATTATTATTATTAATAGGATTTTTTCCCTTTGAATACTCCTCGCTCTCTGATCACCCACCTGAGAATTATCGTTTCGCTGAGGAGTTCTATCGCCCCCTATAAGGAGATCACCCCCAGATTATGAACCACTGGTGTAAACAAAATGGTTATAAAACAATTGCTACCATTGTATTACTTGATAAAGTGGAATGTGAGTGTGGATATGATATTAAATGGTCATCAAAAAAGCGACTAAGATAGAGAATAAAAATTTTCAAAGGTCGAACGGAATGTCTATTTTCGGTGTTGCTGAGAAGTTAAGGAGCTGTTATAATGGCACTTGCAATAAAAAATTAAAAACCAGGACAACAAAATAAAGAAAAGATGTAATCTCTTCATCAGCTCACACGGTTATATCCGCAAAAAGGGGTGCTTTCTAATATTGTATCAATATAGGCAAAGCAAAATATATCAATACTAGTGTGAGGAGCACTTAAAAAAACTAAACGAAAATAGAACACATTAAGTAAAAAAATATATACAAAATAAAACATATCAGGTAAAAAGCAAAAAATACAGAACTAAACACGAAACAAAATCTAAAAAAGAGAGGAAAAACGAAGAAAATTAAGAAAACTATCAGTTTTATTTTCTGTGCATAAGCTGCAAGTATATGGAACTCATAAAGTAAGGTAACTAACAATTAATAATTTTCCATGCTTTCTCTATATTTTTATATTACACTTATCAATGCAGTTTAAATCTTTTAGAGGTTTGTGGGACAGACAATAAATTACAAACGGAAAACAGTGTTTTTGAACATCCTTTGCCGAAACATGTGGCAGTAAATTTGTAATTTGCAACAATTATTGTGGTAATTATACGTAATAATTGCACAAAATTTCGTAAACCTATATTAAATATTTATAGAGATATAGACATTTAAAAAAAAAACTTTTTTTGTCTTACGTATTTTTGAAAAACTTTAAAATATTCAATAAAATTCTTGGCTCAATTTAAAATAAATCATAAAATTATTTCCTTAAAATTTAAGAAAAATTCGTCTACAACTACGCAAAATATGAGTGATCATAGTAATTCTTTTTTATACTACGCATGCGCGGGAAAAATTAAAATTCATTTTTCTCTGAATTTCCTAGTGTTTGGAATCTTATTTGGAAACTAATAAAAAAAATTCTGATTTGAATACTTTAAAAATTTAAAAAGTTTCAAGCAATTTCCTAAGCAGTTTTAGTACTTTTTAAAAAAAAGCTCAAAATGATAAGGCGTTTTCCTCAAATTTTGTTTTTTTACTATTAAACAAGACTTATTAAAAATGACACCGGCATTGTTGGGGACTCATTTTTCAAGTGTCTTTTCTTTTTTTCCTTATACAATCATATTTCGGTGTATGAACATTTACTGTAAGGTATTATCATTTGTTATTTAATTTTGTTTTATGATACAAAATATTATTTGACGAAATTCCCTTATCATTTTGAGTTCTTTTTAAAAAAGTACGAAAACTGCCTAGAAAATTGCTTGAAACTTTTTCATTTTTTAAGATATTCAAATCAGTTTTTCCTTCATTAGTTGCCAAATGCGATTCACTACAAAATTATGGAAAAATATGTTATATTTTTTTCGAGCATGCACAGCAGAGGAAAACTTCTTTAATTACTTATATATTACACAGTTTTCAACGAATGTTTTACGAATTTTAAAGAAAAATTTCGTAATTAATTTTAAATTGCTCTAAAAATTTTGCTCAATTTCATTAAATATTTTTAAAGTGATAGTTAAAAAACGTGAGACAAAAAATCAGTTTTTTAAAAAAATTTCCATCTCTCCATAAGCTAGATTTACGAAATTTTATACAATTGTTACATATAATAATCAAAATAATTCTCACAGGTTACAAATTTATTGCTACATTTTCTGCCATAGGGTGTTCAAAAATACTATTTTCCACTTTTAATTTAATATCGGAAATACGAAACAATGTGTTAGTATAGAAGTATTTCCTTTATTTTGTCCAATCCTTGTGTATATCTATATATATATTGACGAAAATTAAAATATTAATGCTTAAACATATCTTTATACAGTCGTTATAATACTCATTTTAAAAAAAGAAAAGTGTATTGCAATATAGACCTGTCCATCAGTGAAATGTCTCGCTTTCACTTTCAGGAATCTATGCGTCCTCTCACTGTGTCGTCTATAAGGAATACGAAGAGAATCGGTCACGCTCGCTCTTCTCTCATCCCCCTGAAAATCACATCAATAATATAGTTTCACTTGAGAGAATAGAACCAAAAATATGCACAAACTTAATTAAAAAAATTCACCTTTATTTTTTTTCAGGCACAAACATTCGAAAACATTATCTTAAGGTTAAAACTTATGTATTTGTTACCGAGAATGACCAGAGAATGTCGACTTTCACCGGTGAATGTCATCCATCACATAGTCGCTTTGGTGAATGTCTGAAATATTTGTTATATCCGATTTAATAGTAATTTATTCGTTGATATTATTATATTGATTCCATATTTAAATATCTGTTGAGGATAGATTATAAGAAACACCAGTGTTCGGAGTACCAGTTAAATGCATACTGGGCAGCTGCTCTTGACCTTAAAAAAACATTGAAGCAGGGCATACCGGGTTAATGTATACCGGGAAATGGTACTTCACTAGACCTAGTATATATTTCGGACATTCACCAAAGCGACTATGTGATTGTCAACATTTACCGGTGGAAGTCAACTACATTTCTGTCATTCACAGTAACATATTCATAAAACACTTTTTTTGTAATTTTTAGAGGGCATTTTCTGACAACAAAAAAATTTTTAATACTCACAGACTGAAGTGCCAGATTATGTAGTTTTTGTTGCAAATAAAGTTTTTATATTATCTGACAAAAGATTGTTGAGATCATAGTTTTTTAATAATTCGTAGAGTCTGTTTTCCGTGGCATTCTTTATTCTCCCAGTAATGTAATTCTTAGTACGAGCAACCCAATGTTTCCAAAAGTATCTATACTTTCTTATGAATTTTCACAAAGTATGAATAGAACAGTCCGTTCTTAATTCCCCGTAAGGTTTCCTTTATAGACTAATTTATTTAAGTATTTATATAATGATGGTCACAATGAATATAAATAAATTTTGTAAAATAAAGATAAAAATATTTACAGATACCCTTTTGGTACCACTTTAAATAAAATCTCCCTCTGAAATCAGGAGATTCTGGATTTTAAAATTGACTACAAGATATCAAAAGGTACCAACTTGTGGTGGTAGTAGTGTGTCAGACGTATCATGTCCTTCTCCACTTTCTGTTCCACGATTTCTCTTTTCCGGTACAAAAAGGAGCTAAATCATATAGAAATTCAAAATTAGAAATAGAATAGATTAAATTATAGAAATTCAAACTGACGCAGTGATTAAAATATTAATTACCGTGGATGGAGCACAATGAAGTATTCATAAATAGACATGCAAAATATTAAAATATTACTAACTTAAATCGTATTTCATGGAAATTTATGAAATATTTTGTATAATTTCAAACAAGGTTTAGAGAATTTTCTTTCAATGTATATCAGTATTTCAAAAAAATTGCAAGTATTTGATGATTTCGCATTTCTTAAATTAAATATTTGTTGTCAAAAAGGAATAAAAAGTTAAAGGTTGAAAAATTCGAAAATGAATGTTTCGGAATGACAAGCTGGCTCATGTAAACTTGAATAAATATTTCTTAATAATTCTCTTATATACATAATGTAAGCCTATTTCTTATTCAAAACCATTTTGAACATTAGTGTAAATTAAGTTCTCCAGCAAAGTTCGTCTCCTAAAAGTAATGAAGTAGTTACTAAATTTCTAAGTAGTTTGTAGTCACTACATCTATAAAAGTTATTGTAGTTAACTACATTTGTAACAAAGTAGTCATAGTAAAATACAAAAATAATGTAGTTTTTCCAACCACTGCTCAAAATGCGTATGTAAGAAAATGGACGCAGATTTAAATGCGTATTAATACTAGATTACCTAAGGAAGTCATTTTGACTGCTTTTAATTTCAATTAGAAAAACAATGATGCATATAATGACACAATTTCTTAGAATTTTGTACAACATATAATTTTTTATTGTTGATATTTACTAATAACTTGTTACATAACTGTAAATAATATAAAAAATATTACAAATTAATTTTAAACACATTTTTTTACACATTATTTATTCTTTTACACTCCAGTCATTTTGACTGCGTTTGGGCAATATAGGTATACACTGAATTTCAGTCTTTCTAGTGTTAAAGAAAAATGGTCTCAAAAGGCGTTTTAAGGAAAAATATACACAGCTTAAGGGAAGCAAGACGCTTTCGATGTCGAAAAAATGATTTTTTCAACCATATCGAGAAGCAATTTTTTCTTCATATTAAATACATTTTAAAACTTTAAACATTACATTTATGAAAACTACATATTAATATCATTCAATAACAATAAAAAGGAATTTAAGATGTTTATAAATTTAATTTTTATAAATATTTGAAAATTTAATGTATATATAATTTTTTTTTTTTTTACCAGACATAGCTTTCGGTACGCTCAAAGAATTTTCTACATGAAATATCAACAAAAAATTGGCATACACTCATGTAAATATGTTTGAAAAATCAGGTGAACTAGTTTGTTTCATAATATGCACAGAATATATTATATCTAAGCAAAATAAATGTTGTATTTCTGAAAAAAATGCAAAATTTCGTTCAAATTTTGAAAAACATCCCCTGTATAACAAAATTATAATGAAAAAAATAAACTTTATGTAGTTAATTAAATGTAAATAAGGTATATGTACATGCATAGAAATTTTCATAACTTTACAATGATTTGTTTTTTGTACGAGCGTACCGAAAGTTATGTCTGGTAAAAAAAAATTATATTTACATCAAATATTCAAATATTTATAAAAATTAAATTTATAAACATTTTAAAATTCTTTTTATTGTTATCGAATGACATTAATATGTAGTTGTCATAAATGTAAAGTTTAAAGTTTTAAAATGTATTTAATATTAAGAAAAAATGGCTTGTCGATAAGNAAATGGTTTTAAACAATGAAAAATTTGCATTTGCAACTGTTTGAAGTTTATTTTATTGTGTGTTTTGTTTTAAAATAAAATTATTATATGTTGTGAAATACTAGGAATGTTTATCGTGATTTTTTTGATTCTCAATTACTGTAGCGTGTAATTTCTTCTGCAACATTGTAATAAGTCTTCAGAATTTAATAAAATGGGAGATAGAAGGTATGATATTTGCATTGATTAAACTTTATAACATACAATGTCGAAATTTTTTTATAGTAGTGCTTAAGTGCATAGAATTATAGAACATATGGAAAATTTGGTTGCTTTTGATTTTCGACATGATATCGGAAGCAATTTTCTTTTACCACTGACGTTAAAGTCGATTTCAATCTTGTGAGTATTTTTATCATCAGCATTGTGCTTATTACTTTAATTTTAAATTATTCGCTTGAAATTTGAGATAAGAAGTATATACTTTTTTATTTTTTCATGCTTAACCCCTTAACGATCGGTTAATTTTAATGAAAACGGTCATAAAAGTGTCTATTTTTTTGGCTTTTGTATTTGTATTACTTATTTGATTAGTGCTGACATCTAGTTTAAAATAAACTAACTATCTACAATAACTTAAAAATATCCTGGTACTGCCATCTGGCGTGTAAAATGAGAAATAAAATTTTTTCCGGGCAAAAGAAATGAATTAGTTTTATTCTCATTGGCGCGTTACTACTGAACATTCCAGCCTGTAAATTTCACGGGAGCAAGAAATAGAGGGCAAAACCTCACCCCGTCATTTTCACGGGAGCGAGAAGGAAGGAATTACTGTACAAATAACATGCTGATACTGATGGATCACATGTCAAAAAAAATTTTTTTTTACGGCAGATACTGAACTTTTGTACTTTACCTCCGAAGATGCTGGAAGTGTTGCTCATTTAACAATACCCCAGTGGGCACCCATAATCCCTAAATCACACAGGCGAGCTACATTAGCTACGCCACACTTCCACAGATACCCGTTCATAGGGTGGGCCGGGCCACAGTCACACGACAGAGGACAACACGCAGAGAAGAACATCCATGCCCTGAGTTGGATTCAAACCCGCAGCCATTGGCTTCGTAGTTTGGAGCGCTAACTGCTCGGTCACCTGGGCGTCATGTCAAAAACAAGTTTTACCTTTTAAAAACACTGTTCTTTTTTAAATAATGCTCAAGGAGGCACAATTTCAATATTAATGAATTTTCCATATAACGAACTTATATTGGGATTTAGCGACTTAGTTAAATGTAGGTCTGACTATGTATTTATTTGAGTGCTCCTCCCACTATTGTTTTGATACATTCTGCTTTATAATCGTGTGAGCTGAAGAAAAGACTATATCCTTTTTTCTGGTTATTTATTATATATATATATATATACACTGACTGAGCAAAACTCATGGGATAGCAGGGCTCTGATTTGTGGATGGACAGCACGTGTGACCAACGCCACCTGGTGGCCTCCGCGACGGTCTCAGTTGTGTGTTAGACATTGCTTGAAGTGGCTGTGTGAGTGATCAGGTAAAATGCAACGTCGTCGTGAGTTGACGGCATTCGAACGCGGCATGATTGTAGGTGCCCGACGCATGGGACATTCCATTTCGGAAGTGGTTAAGGAATTCGTCTTCCCAAGGTCAACCGTGTCGAGAGTTTACCGTGAATGGGTGAATGAGGGTGTCACAGTCCGCAACAAACACCATACCGGGCGACCACAGGCCCTAAATGACCGAGACAGGCGAAACCTGAGACGAGTGGTAACTCAAGATAGGAGAGCAAATGTGCAACAAATCACGACTGAATTCAACACAGGCCGTGATAGAAACGTGTCCCAGTGGATAATCCGTCGGAACATGCGTGTTCTCGGGTATGAGAGCCGTCACCCCACAAGTGTGCCACTGCTAACCCAGCGTCATCGGACAATTCGGCGTGCATTTGCCACCAATCACCACGGATGGACACTGCAACAGTGACGTAACGTGATGTGGTCTGACGAATCACGTTATCAACTGTTCCATGCTGATAGGAGGCACCGTGTGTGGCTCACACCGCATGAAGCGATGGATCCAGTAAGCCAGTGGGCACAGTCTAGGCCGGTGGCCTATCAGTCATGGTGTGGGGTGCATTTTCGTGGCATGGAATGGGCCCCCTGGTCGTTCTGGATGCCACATTGACTGGTCAGCGGTATCTTCAGCTGCTTGGAGACCATCCCCACCCTTTTGTCATGTTTCAACACCCTGATGACATTGCTGTGTTTCAAGATGACAACGCAGCCCCACATCGCGCCAATATCGTCCGTGCCTGGTTCAACGAGCATGCAGGTGAGATCCAACGACTGAATTGGCCACCTCGAAGTCCTGATATGAACCCCATTGAACATATCTGGGATGCCTCCGACGTCAGGCTCAGGGCATTGAATCCTTAACCCACGAACAGGCCACAATTGGCTGCCGCTCGTAAGGATGTGTGGTGCCAACTACCTCCGGACGTGTTCCAGAGCCTTGCAGACTCACTTCCATGCCGTATCTCTGCACTCCGCAGGGCCAGAGGGGGCCCGACCAGATATTAGGTGGATATCCCATGAGTTTTGCTCAGTCAGTGTATATGACTAATGCAGCTTTTCAGATGATCTCAGAAAGTTAAAAAATAAGACCATATCAGTGTTGGTTTCTTTGAAAATCTTTATTTTTCCAAAAGTTCAAGAAATGTAAACATCATGAAAAAAATTCTTGCCCCCTCAATACCACGAATTTCTACGAATTTTCCCACATACAAAAAAGTCTAAAAGCAGATTGGAAATCGATCTCACAAATTTTGAAAAGTGATAACAAAAAGGAAACCAACGGAGGTATTTTGGTATATTTTTGACAATTACTACAAACTATTTTTGAAGGAAGTATATCTACTCAAATATTCTTATTCAAACATTAAACGACGAAATGGTATTTCAAAAACGAAATTCCTACCGGCATTATCGTATATTTACTACCACTATTATAACCCTGTAGCAACCCTTCAAAAAGAACCTGTAACCGTCTATTAAAAAACACTATCTCTAGAAAAACATATATACTAAGTAATTTATGCAAATAGTCGACATTACATTGAGAATTTAATATTTATATATACACTACTGGCCATTAAAATTGCTACACCAGGAAGGCAACACACCACGAACGTGACATTTGCAGGACGGATAAAGCATGTTGTATTATGGAAATGAGGAGCTTATCAGC